AAGGGCAATCGCGCAAAGATTAAGTATATAAGTGGCAAAAGGTTTTCGTTTAGAAGAGCGCATAATAACCACGAAGAAGTAAAAAAAACATCACTTTCGCTCGTGCGAATGAAATTAAAAGCATTTATATCTAAGTACTCCCATCAAATCAAATATATTGAAACTCACAGAGTTTTGTTTCAACTAACTCTAAAATCTTTCATAAGAATATTGACGGCAGTGAAAGTATTATTAAGAAAGAATCGGAACGAAAGTTTTGTGCGTTCGGAAAATCTTTGCTTAATCAAAAGATACTTGACCACTCTAGCTGCCAAGCGGTTTATAGTCATGCTAATGTATTATCTATAGAATGAATACAAGAAACCCGAGAGGAAGGAGCGCAAGCACGATAAAAGTGAGTAGCATAGACTTGACGCGCTTGCGCGTCAGAATGTCCGATGCGGTGCGAAATTCTTGACGCGCATGCGCGTCAGCTTGTCGTCAACGTGTTAAACGCCTGAACACAAAGATTGAAGCGGTTGGGAGAGTAGTTGACACTACTGGTGGAGTCGCCAAAGTCCCTAGCGGCTTAGCGTCTGCATACGCTTTTTTAGTTCGGGTACAGTCGATATCCGAAAGTTGGGGTGGGTGTGTCACCGGAAGTGACGTGCACTTGATAGAAGTTCGTGGATAAGCTGTTGCCAGCATGCTTTGCTGATAGCCAGCGATGTATGTTGGAAGCAACTTATCCACGTAGCCTTCTATCAAGTGCACGTCACGTCCGGTGCCACGCCTACCCCAACTTATCGGATATCGAGTATATGTTTCATGAACCTCTTTCCACTTCGTCGTACCAATCGCTTCTGCGCACAGCTAAGTGTTTCTCTAAGGTTGAGCCCAAACTTTTGCCTTAAAGCAACAGTTCAGGGAGGGTCCGAAAATTTCAATGCCACTACTACTGAGGGATACACGAGCCCTAGTGAAGAACATATGCAGTGGAAATAATAAACGAACTTACCTCAGAAACTCAAAAACAGGGTGGAAAGTCCCTCAAACATGGGTGTTCTTGGGGATTTCCCCAATCCCGCCCCCTTGCCGGCCGTCATTGGACGCGTCGGCAATCGTGCTCGTTTTGGGACCACAGGGAAAATTGTTGAAAAAATGGAGCGCGTTTACAGCGGGCACGTTCAGACAACTCGTCCAACGTGCGTCTTTATCCATTGCTGAGCGGCAGAGGGAGAGTACCTGTCTAAGACCCTCCCCCCGACGTTTTTTTCCAGTTTTTCATACATTAATCGTCTGGTTTTCATCTACAACTTCATTATTGGTGGTTTTTTCCCGCGAAACCGTTCCTGAACTGTTGCTTTAAGCAAAGCTGATTTCACTCAACTTTACTACCGGATGGATGACCTAAACATCGTACGATCAAGACTCGCTCGCTGACGCGTGCGTGTGGGGAAGGGCGCCACTTATTGCCACCAAACTTCCCGTGCATTTTCAAATCTGTGAAGCTTACGTAACCTTTTCTTAACGTCCTCTAGTTCGAACCCACAATGGCAGTGACGCCAAAGATACCCCTAATAGGCCTAAAATAAAAGGATCGACTTCCTAAGCCCATAATTCTTGTGGTTGGTGCCTGTCGCCAATCGAGAGGAGCAATAGATGGGCACTGTTTTACCCTTTACTGCCCCACTCCTCGAGAACTGAGCCGGATTTTTATCGAAATTGGTCATTGACTGTGAATTTGGCCAGAAACTTGCCTTCGGGGGTAATTCGACCCGTAGAACACGAATATCACATTTGTTTACCGCTAGAACGCCTGGCGCTCGCGTCAGAAGCGCCGGCGCCAAAAGGCGCCAGAACATCTCGGATCCCCAAATTCGCTGGAAAGTTGTCCTCAGAGGTATTTTGACCCGTAGAATATGATTATCACATCAGTTTGTTACGAGTGAACCTGTAGCCTGCGCTACGAGCGCCCGCGCAAAACTGTTGTGATAGCGCCGGCGCCTGTGGCGCGGGCGCCAAGCGTTTTCGCTCTAAACCGGTATTATATTCGTGATCTACGGGTCAAATTACCCCTGAAGGCAAGTTTCTAGCAAAATCCACAGTCATGGACGAATTTCGATCAAAATCCGGCTCAGTTCTTGAGGAGTGGGGCAGTAAAGGGTAAATAGCCTATAATGATATGATGTAGCGCATGAGCTTGTCCCTCGTAGTAGGCGCATCAAGAACGGTCTTTGAGTCATGCTGAGTTTTGTGAACCCGAGAGGATTATTACGATTCTTCGAGTGTGATGGAGTAAGGGGGGTACACTACAATATGTCTGCTGAAGCTTTCGGGCAACTAATTAACAAAACAAAGGTATAATAAACCAAAGAAAACAAAAAGTTCAAAGAAGCAGCGTAGATTGGCATTCCTAACTATCACAAGAGAGCAGAGTCGTAGTTATTGCCATGTTTTGTTTTGATAATGCAGTTTTTCCGAAAGCTCTAGCAGATTTTACAAGTTTGGACATGTACAGTTTTGTTAACTGCCTGGAAGCTTTGGCATACATTACCATTTCTGAAATGTTTTCCTTGTTAATAGCAGATGTCCCCCCGTCGGACAACAGACTCGATTCTTCTAGTCCACGTGGTTCCAAACGGGGGGGGGGGTTGACCCTGAGCCCAAGTAATGTCTAGGAAGACTAGCATTGCGAACTCTTTTCGAAGTTGACATGCTGATTTAAGTGGCAGTAAGGAAGTAATCAAGCGCCCCAAACCAACAGAACGGACCCTTACCTTCCATTGACCTTGTCGCTTTACAAGATTGAACTGGCATCGACAACACGAGCCCCGTGGTTTGCGGAAGACGGTCAAGTCTCCCGCGACCGCCGCGCCAAAACTAGGTCACCGCGCGCGACGTCGCCGGCGTTTTTGCAGTTTGAAACATGGCAATTGGCCAAGTTTAGGACCCGCCTCTCTAGACGATCGATACAACACTTTTTTGTTCCGTCTGTGTAGTCCCCATTTGCATTTTGCTTAGTCCTAGCAAATTGCCACGTTCCAACTGTAAGGACCGGTAGCCGCCGCGTGCGGTGACCTACTTTCGCTTGCGCGGCGACCTCAGGGGGACTCTTGTCTCGCATCCATGGTTTGCCTCTTTGCTGCAAGGAATAGAGCGCGACTTGCACGAATCTTTAACCAGAGCCAGGTGCAGCAAACCGCAACATTTGGATGGGTCCAAACTCGGCTCCGTCCGTGTCTTTACTCTATTCTTATGGACGCAACGCTCATGGTCGGAATAGGGAAGTTCTTAAAGATACCGAGTTTTGGCGGAACCATGCCCCAAGTTGGGAGTTGAAGCTTGCGACCGGCCCAGGCAGAAAACAGTTGTGTACTAAATTTTCGCGGCCCAGCGAAAGTGATTTTTTAGGGTCATCGCCGAACATGTGCGCTACAGTTTCGCATCGCAGACGAGCCTTCACGCTCCGCGCGATATGTGTTGTACACATAGTCAGGGTGCCGCTGTAGTCAGGATCTCTTTACCACGGAGTCCATGGCACAGGTGGGAGGAGGGGTGAGGGCAGTGGAAAAAAATAACCCCTGTTTCTACGATCCTCTGAATTCTTTGTACCGGTGTCAGACTTCGCGAATCGCTCGATTTGCTCTAGCAAACCGCTCGATTTGCAATAATAGAAACACCGGCCCCACAGGTGATGGTCCGGGGTCACCCGTATTCGTTCACAAACAGACAAAACGCTGACACGAAAGTCGCCTGTATGATGGCAGAACTGTAAATTGGGAATCCGAGCAGTACCAGCTAACCTTTTACCACCGAAAGATACAGAGGAGAGGGCGTTCAAGAAATGGCCATATCTTCAGCCACTCCTGCTCCACCAACGCAATTCCCCTTTTAAAAGAACGATGGGCACTCCACCAACATGAGCGCGATTACGCATCACCGCGAGGCAAAAGTGTTCCCGTTAGTCAGCCTTTTCATGAGGATTCTTGGATGAGGAATTTGTTCTGTTCGTTCCCGCTGAGTCTAGTGAGCCTACGGAGCAGATTATGAAAGTGGTACTGAGCGTCATCACGACTTACTACGGTCGCTATCACCGCTTACCCAAGACTTTTCTGAGAAAATGTGCTAATGATATAGCCCACGTTCCAAACAATCCAAACAAAAACACTGTATAAATAGGCGTTCATGGCAACATTTCATTCACTCTTACTTCTTACGTCAGTCTCACCTCATCATGCCGAATCCTCCACCAAAGGAGGATACATGGGCGTTCCAGAAGATTGGAACTGCGTTCCCACCGAATCCTGTGAAAGTACGTTTCCTATGGAAGGCTTTCTTAACAGCGATGTCGGAGCTCTCAGCATGGTACTATTGCAGTGTCTTGGACAACAAAACATGTACGTCGCATTGTGGTACAAACACGGAAAGCCGATTCATGGGCGATCATGGAATAACGGAGGAGTTGTCGAGTGCTCGTTCCCGTATAAAAAAGCCGAATTAAGAACTGCTCAGCAACTCGAAGGAAATATTCAAGTGGGTTAGCTGGAGATCCCTCTAATTGGGAAGCTTACAACCGAATAATTACTTCCTTTAGGTACTTCAATACACAGGAGACCACAATACACAAGGATTCTGGTATGAATGGATTAAGTACAAGGAAAGATTCGAAAAAACGGAAGCTCGTCAACTCCTTCGCTGCGGAGACTCCTTCCCGATTCTATGGAAGGACCGCCCAGAGGTTGGTTTTGAAACCGCATGAAAACAATATGGTGTTTATGAAGGAGAACGGATATCCTCGCATAATCAATCATTGAGAAATGATAGCTGGTGTTTGTCAATCAAAGGGTGAGAGTTGTGATGGGAAGCATACACTTGCGTGGTATTAGAGCTGAGACTTTCAAAGGAAATAAAGAATGTAGAGATGCTGTAATAGTGCGCATTCGGGAGAGTACCCAGACAGTACTACAAAACGCGGAATCGCCTAGCCTCAGTGGTGACAGAAGTCCTGAGGCGTGACTGTCTGAGGCGTGGTAGTCGATGTACCGGGTAGAACCCATCACTAAAAAGCTCGGGGGCCTAAGTGGGGTTGGGCGAGAGGAACACGCGGGCGGCGCGTGGCACTTGTTGGCGTCTGCTCTTCGAGGCTTAGTCCCCTGGTGCACGCGTATGGTCAAACTGCCACGGTGGTGATAGATAGGGAAACCGACCTGAGACTATGAGTTGGAGGAGCAACGAATAGAGCACCGCCACTGTTGGGTCCCCCCAACGCCACGTAGCAGCCAAGTAGCCGGATGTACCAGATGGGTTCACTGACACCAAAAGCATTACCAGTACTCTGAAATGGCACACTAACCATAAGGGCACAAACACTCCCCAAAAACTATCCAGGCCATTCACCATCCTCGATACAGTGTGCAAGCGGCAAGACCGAATAGTGCGACGTTTTTAGAAGATGAGATGTGTAGAAAGACCACCACGAAATGCCGCCCACATTTGATCGTGCCGCGTACGCGGCAATAAACAGCGGCGCTATCGCAAGATACTGGGGCATCTTCTTGCACCAAGCCCAGAAGGGGACGGGAGTTCGGGAAAATGATGAATAAGCCTCACGCAACAAAGAACCTGTCCTTCCTCGCTCAGGGCTTGGTTCGTTTCTTTAACAAAAAAGGGGTAGTCGACACGATTTCAAGTGTTGCCTCTACCATGCCCCCGTATCTTGCGGTAGCATCAAATCAATCTTCCAGAGAGAACGAACGAATCCGGAAGAGCACACGTTGCCACAGTGAGATTAGAAGCGCGGACTCGATGAAGTGTCGTGATGTGAAAGAAGTTGTTCGATAGCGCGTGCCAGCGCTTGCGGGGCGAGCGGCACCAAGGACCGCGGGAGTGTCGGTGACCTTTACCACACATCTTTGGTGCATGTAGTAGTTGGACCATTCCGGCGTGCGATCCGCTGGGGTGTAAAGAATCGGGCGCTCATGTCCTTAGGGTGGGGACATTCAAGACATGCATTCAAAAACCGCTGGTAGGTGACACCAGGTCCGAGCCCAGGAGTGAGAGAAACGCCAGGGAGAACAAAGTTTGCTCAAGTCCTCCTTAAGAATCCCTTCCCCTTCCTAAGATTTAGTCCCAAATTCTGTACAAGGCTTACCCCAGCGTTCCCCCCCCCCCCCAGCCCCACCCTAATGACATGAGCGCCAAGAATCAAAGACAAACTGTTCGTCGTGAACATCACCTTCGTCGAATCAGCTGCAAACTGACCCCTATACTGGGGAAAAATGTATGGAACGCCGAAAACGATCAAAGTGAACTCTACGTTGCAGGGTGCCCTTCTCGGCTACGTCGATAACAAAACTGAAATTGCTCTGTTCTCTTGCGATGGGAAAGTATACGAGCAGAAAGGACCTCAGCTCAATGAAATGTACATTATAATGCGAAACACTGTTGGTGGACCACCATTTTGTGATTGTCCTAATTGTCCAAAGCCACCACCACCTCCGCCTGTACCAGCACCTGGACCTCCTCCTCCGAGGTGAGTTAGCAAAGACAATAACAGCTCAAACAGTACAAAGTGTGCCCAGTTTCTAGCTACTGATTACCTACAACTTCTTCCTCGATATTCAGAAACTTACCGTCCATTTAGTTTCGGAAGTTTACAATAATGAGACAAATGCAGGGTAATGATCGATGAATGGATGGATATTCGTGCGGGCGATCCGTGGCCAGACAGACTTCTTGTGAAAGCCCTCGACAAGACCCTGGACACAATCCCTGGAGAAAATCCCGATCAGTATGTTGCTCTGTGGTACCAGGCCGGAGAACCGGTCATGGGACGTGTATGGAACGAGGGTGGCAAGGTAATGCTCAGCAGCTCGGAATCAGGGTCAACCGTCACGTTGGACCAATTTCGAAAATTTACGACCCCCTCCCCCTCTAGAGGGCCTCGATACGACCCCCCCAGGGTCAACTCCTCACGACCATCCTCCACCACCCTCGCCTGCCGGGGGGCGATTCTATAGTATTTGATTCTGAGATCAGTCGACACAGCCCAACTCCGCCCACTTTTCCTTCCAAAATTGCCGTCGAGGGGGGGGGGGGGGGGGGGGTATATATGGAACGTGAAACGGCAAAATTTTCACACTCACACTCAACCCAAAAGCCCAGCCTACAAGAACCCACTATCCGTTCCATAAAAAAACATCCCTTCCCTTACTGTAACATTGACGCTACCTCGCGAAATACGACCCCCCTTTTCCACCCCCCCCAAATACGACCCCCCACCCCCTCGTTGGACTTTGTCCAACGGACGGTTGACCCTGCTCGGAAGTTACCCTTGTCGGACAGCAATCACAGGTAAAACATGCTCACAGGTAGCCGCCAACTTCTGCTGGAACAAAAACGAGTACAAAGGAAATGTCGGTTCAATTCAGTTATGGTAATGATGAGGACTAATGAGAGTTTTGCAGGCGGCATCGTTCGATAAGGACAAGGAATGGATTCCTGTGCACGTGAATAACACCAAGGGAGATATTTCCTCTGGTGTGATCACGTTCAATGGAAAACAGATTCTCGGAAAGGTCGACGTTAGGAATGAAAAATCCTCAGCCGGATTCGGTGGCAAAGAAAACATGCTTGTCGGACCAGCGTGCGCCAGTAACACCATAGTGTTGTGCCGTAAAGCAAGACCAGGATATAAGTTTGACTAAGCATGGAACCTACCCTCTTTCGAATAAATTAATTTTCTGTACATTTCAAAACTGTATGCATCCCAGTTTTCGTCGATAAACAGAAGTTTTTCCCGTATTTTCTCTTCCTCTGCACGAAACGAACTCTTCACCTGAGCTCTCCAAGTGTGATACCATTACGTTGTAGAATGCACTTAACTGAATACAGTAGATGTCGCACACTGCACAGTGTGTGGGAGAATGAGAGGGGGAGGAGGGGAGGGGGGGAGGACTAATCACTTTCATAAAGGAGATTAGGAACTCATGGCCTTGGTTGGGGAGACATTAGAAACAGAGCATTGTAAAATGCGATGGTAGGTGACACGAGGATTACGCCCAGGAGAGGGAGAAGGTCCAGGGAGAATACAAGTTGTTCACATCCTCCCTCAGCATCCCCTTCTTCGCTAAGGCTTAATCCCAAGTTATAAGTGGTTCACACACTTGAATGTAAGCCCCCTGACGACGTGAGCGCCATTTTGATACCTCAACGCTGGATTGATGCTAGTTATGGTGCCAGATGGTTTCCAACTCTCGCCTCCAGCTGGGACGCCAATTTTCGCCAACAGACTGCAGAACGGAATCAAGGAAATGTGATAGCTACTGGATGTATGTAGTAATAGAGAAACGTGGAATTGCAATCGTAGCAACACAGGAAGGATGATGCCAAAAGACCGATTGGTTTCTCACTTTCACTCCCTTGTTACAACACCTCAAAGGCATCGGTCACGATGATTCAGTTGAATTGAAGGTAAGGCGCTACAAAAAGGACTCAGAGACCCCTCAGCACTCACCCGCATTCCCGTTCCTCCCACTAGTTGAGATATAGAGGATTAATTGATCTGGTGAGCGTAAAAAGGCTCAAGGATCCCCTACACTGAAGCGCCACCCGTTTCCTCTATTGTCGAGTCCGAGTATGTTATTAGTTGAAACTTTCTTATCGTATCTTTTCAATGCGAAATTTCGAGGTTTTAGGTACAAGTACGGAACGTTCCTTTCAGCCCGTGGTCCATGTGTGTTCAAATTCGGGCCCGGAATTGGCAATTTGTTGGGATTCAATTCTTTTCTTAGCTATTACCGAACTTTAAGCGAACTCTCATATCCAATAACAAGGCAAGTTATCGAGCCACTCTTTAAATAAGCGCGCGTGTACACCGACACCATATTTAATAATTCGGTATCCAGCTATGGGCCGCAATACCCAAAAAGCTCGGAGGAACTGAGAGAATTTTGTTTGAAAACAATTGCTTCAGTTCAAGTGCTGTCTCCTTGATACAGGCTTCATAACACGAACTTGTAGCAGTTCTTGAGCCAGTTCAAAAGAAAGTGCACAACAAGGAATCAGATAATTAAGGATTGAAAAATCTTCGACCTCACCAAACAAACCCATTCACGACACGCTTCTAGACAGTGCCATTCCCGGCTACTCACAATCCGACGCCCAGAGTCAGCACGGTTTGTATGGCTCTGCCCTACTCAAACATGCGAAAATGAAAATGACGATCGAAATGTGAGTGATCGAGCAGCGCCTAGTGCATCACGTATGCTTAAAGATGTCTTGATATCCGATGCACGTCAATGCCAGCTCCCATTTGCAATTGCACAATTCTGCTCTTGAACGCGAGGTTACATACCCGCCCTAATACGCCGAGTTCAAACCTGCTTTCGCTACTGCAAAACACTTTCCTGAAGAAAGCATGAGCGCAGAGTAGTGACCCTGATTCACAGGTCGTGGGATAGAGTCACTATGAGAGTCGTTGGTATTTGCCGGTCTCTATGAAGTTAGAGGAGAGGGAAAAGCTCACCAGCGGTGCGGACGCGAGCGCGGCTTGTGAGTAAGATGTCGGTCAGACTCGGCAATTGCATCGCATGGACCAGTGCTGGAGCGACGCGATCGCTCCATCGCTTGTCCACCGCGAGCAGTCGCTCTCGAGAGCGATTGATCGCGCGATGCAGATCGCCCACCAAGACGCGCCGCTCGGGTAATCTCAGTCCGCTGCGATTTGAGCGATGCATCGCCCGTCGCTTGTGCACATGCAAGAAGCTGACTGCACGCCGCGTGGCAAGCGATGGAGCGATCGCTTCGCTTAGCACTGTCATCGCGATGCAATCGCCGCAGTCTGACTGATCTAAAGACGTCGGAGCTGACACGAAGGACGAGTGTGGCTAGCGACGCTGCCACATTACTCAAATTTTACTGACACTATAACACTTGTTAATCAGTTGTGTTGCGAACTAACGGCTCTGTTACGTGCGCGGCACCAGAAATTGGACACGGCAGAAGATGCCCTGGTTAGGCAAAGTGGCGACGAATGATAAGACAGCGGTCCGATTGCGCAGGACTAACGTTAGGCAGGCACTAGGAATTGCATTTAAAAATGCAGAGGAAGTCTTAATGTTTGAGCCCTTACGAGTACACAGTGAAGGGAATATGACTGAAAAATTTCGATCTTCCCACTTACTTCTGCTTATTACACATTGAAGCAAGAGCACGATAAATGCACGGAGTACTCATTGTCTTGGTAGCAGAGCTGACCCCTGCTCGTTCTTTGCCCCCCACAGTGACGTCAACAACACGCGTACGCGTCCGCGCCGCTGGCGAGCTTTTCCATGGAGCCGGGGAAGGACGCCGTATTTCTAGATCTTGTGTAGTGTCATTGTAAAAAGGTAAATGATTTCGAGAACTTGAAAGATGTTTTCGGAACAGAGAGAGAGAGTACTCTTTGATGGGTTTTCTAACAATTTTGGCGGAGTTTCCACGAAATATGCACGAAACAGACAAAATCGAGAAACTGCATATTTGACTCGTTGATGGTCTGAACGACCTCCTTGGCAAAAAAAAACGGGTCAGCAGTAGCAACACGACCATACATAAGCAGATATGCTAATGATGTATAATCACAGGTAGAAATAAATTTATCACCTTTCGGGTACTCTTTAACGTATGAACATTTACAATAATAAAATGACATAACATGAGGAAAGAGGGAAAAAAGTTTACCAATCAACAAAACAAAAAGTGAATGATTTGGATTGACAACAACAAAGCGAGCGATGGTCACAATATGATGACGGTGTTAGAGCTAGAGGGAGAGGAACTGTGTGAAACTATGCCTACAGAGCACAGCCTACCCGCTGCGAATGTCAAATGTATGGTATCGAACGTGAGGGACACCACGAGCAAATACAATTCGAAGAACAAAAATGCTCAATCCACTGAGAAGGACCAAATCAAGTGAACATGAGCACGATAGCGCTCAAATGTATTGTAAGATATCAGTTAACAACTAGAAGACCACAGCTGTGTTACACTGATGAATGTACCTCCAGCATAGCATATATACAGAAAATGTAAAAGAAAAAACAATCAGATACCATAAACATTCTGACTAAAACCTCTACTGGATGGACTCAATGGTACCGGTGAGAGCAATAAGTAAAACATGAGATTTTGACACAGAATGAACAACGAATAACGATGAGTTCGAGACAGCAACACTCAATAAAATGGAATTTCAGTCACTGGCTGTCTACAGAACCTGCTCAGAGAAAATCGCATATGCGGCAGTGATCGCCAATTTTTACTCAATAGCGTACTTATTTCTTATGCCTCCTGATAAAATAAAAAGAAAAGGCAGACAAAAAATGCAAAACAGGCATTCATAGTGATACCTCGACTTTCCCGCGCGGAAGTAGTACTCCACTAGCGAAAACCTTTCATTGAAGATTCATCAAAACCCGTCGGAATCTGTCTCGGGTGATGGCTTGATTGAGCTCAACTATTCCATCAATATCAAGACATTGATCTAGGATCGAATTACGGGCCACACACAGTTAATATTTCAATGAGTGTTCCTGTCTTAAGGGTGATCGATTTCAGATTAGTAATCGAAGATTGATGATCAAACTGAAGGCGCTATGCCGGCCTGGGTGTGAGTACCTAAAACGTCTACGAATAGCTGTACTCTGAACTGAGTATTAAGAGGGAGCCGGTGGATAGCGCAGCTGCACTAAAGTTACCACAAAGCAATGCATTTAGTGGCTACCTCAAATGTTTCCTCGGTACGGTTAACTAACTTAAGACTGGGTTAGTTTTGGACAGTTGCGTGCGCTAAGCCACCTGACCAGTTCAGCCAAGAATAAATGATGCCGGCATAACGCCACAGATCACCTCAAGCTCACCAACGGCAGTGCTCTGGAGATACAGAGTTATCGGATCACATCCCGCAACCAGGTGCTATCACAGAAAAAAGACAATGATACAAGAAAACAAAGACGTGTACGATCAATCAACCAAACTGCCGTTCAAACCCAACTGTCGTCCATTCCACGGGGCTTGATTTCCTTTTCGAACCGAGGCGTAAAGCGGTTCACGAACGGCGCCTCTATCGTTTCGAGTTTGACCGTTTTGTGCTGGTGGAGTGCTGGCTTGCTGTTGTTGATGGTACTGCGGCGGTTGTGGGCGACGTTGCTAAAACGATTCACATTGTGAGGCACGGTTGAAGCCTGACCGCCTCTACCACTGCACAAACTCCACTGAGCTATTACCCCACAATTAAGATGTGAGAATAAAAATACAAAAAGCACACAGTCGACATTAGTTAATCTTATTCTTCTTTGCCTGTCACGAACTGTTACACATTTGTAAGAATCCACATTTACCTTTACCGTCAGCCGATAAGGTATGTGATGACGCCTCAAATCAACTGCATAATTAATAGTTAATACTAATAAAACTGGCATACATAAATACAAACAGGGGATAGAGAAAAATAAGTAGAGAAAAACACAATACCTGAGAGTCAGAAACTGCACCATAACCGCTGCTCATCGTGTCATCCAACAGGGCCTGTGCAGGCCTCTCACGTCCTTGGCTTGAGATTGGTCGTGCGAGAGTCGCCGAATCACCCCTAAATCCACTGTTGAATCAAAAATATTTCAAAAAGCTACATAAAGGTAGTCGAAAGCCTCAAAAGCCAGAAAATGCAAAAAAAAGCAAAGAGACTAACCTGGCAGTACCCGAGTAGAAATCTGCCTCCTTGAGGCCACTTCTTTTGAATCCGTCATGAAGCTCTTTGTGCTGCCACATCATGAACAGCACTTGAGTGGCATATTTGCACACTCGATGCGAATATGTTGGATAACTTCGAGCGAGCGCTCGTAATTTCTCAGTTCCTAAATAATCAAAGGCATAAACAACCAGTGGCAGGTCAAGGACGGGGATTCTAGAATTTAGAAACGATAATGGAATATTTAGACATTAAATATTAAGACGATATCAAGGCGACACTCGATGTTTAGGCAGAAGTATTAGAATTTTAAGACGCGCCTCTAAATTTAGGAAACTACAAGGTCTTACTGAACAGGAGACAAAAATCATAGTGGGATCGAAGTAAAAGTGGTCCATTCCCACATCCGGTTTAGTTCTCGACCTCGTCAGACCTCGCAGAACTCAACCTCCTCCAAAAACTATCAAACACAACCCTTCTCGAGGATAACTTGAACATGCTCAATAAGGCCACATTACCAGGAAATGATGACAAACACCGCAGATAAATGAAACAAAAAATTCTTGGGCAAGAACCGATCGCATACCTCGAGCTTCATGGACATCTCTTGTGAATGCCGAACTACTTCGAACCACCTTCGAAAAGAATACCGAGCACTGCTCCAATCGTCTGATCACTGACGGGTGGGCGACGGGCACCAGCATCAGGAAGCTTCTCGATCAAATCTCGTAATGCGTACTTCCCTATAAACTCAGCTATAAGTACACGTGAACGTTCTTCCCATTTCATGAAGCTACACTACGACCGGACTCGAAAACTCAAAGTAATACTGTACCTATCAGTTCTCGGTTCCTCGGATCTAGCGCTAGATTCCGCAAGGCTGTCGCAACCGCACAGACCACGTAGTCTTCCTTGAGTCGAATCAATTCAACCAGTACCGGCAGGCCTTTCTCAACTCTAACCGCTGCACGAACCTCGGCGCTTGGTGCAAACTGGCAGGCGGCCAGATTCTGGATCGCACCAGCAGAAGCCTGGATCACGTATTACTATGCCTTCATCACAAAACGTGCTAAAGTGTAAGACGAACCTCAAGGGTGTCCAAATTTGAAGCTTCTTGTAACAGCTTCAAATAGAGCTTCACGACATATGGTTGCCACAGGACTGCAGGACCCTGCAAATATTCTCAGAGTATCTTGAAAGTACGTGATCACAAAGTGCCAATCTTCGTATAACTTCGTATAATGTATGCTATACTCACCGTCACATCTGCAGAAAATTACTCACCACCGTCACCTCTTTCGCATGCTCTCGCTTCTTGTCTTTGTCTTTCTTGGGCTTCGGACTGCTCGGAGCAGACTTGCCACCTTTTGTAGATAGCATGTGTGCAGTAGCAGGGTCGTAATTGGGATCCTCTACTTCTTGTATCCTAAGCAACATTATTGGCATAACACGACAAAATAACGCATTACCAAAACCACGCTAAAAGATACCTGTAGCTCAAATTGCGCAGCAGACAGACAACGTTTTCCACAGACTGCGAATCAACTTGATTCCGCTGAATCGCGACAGTGAGAAAGTGGACCAGTCCTTCGATGAGATTCGGACAAGCCCGAAGTCGTTTCCTCGCTGCCGCGCGTTTGCTGCGCTGATGTTTCTGAAGAAGGGTAAGATACAGCGAACAAGAAATGACCCACATCCCTCACCCAGTATCTGTAGTTCAAAAACACTATATTTCGTATAACAAGAAAATGTGCCAGACAATAAGAAACCTGCAATAGATTAATAATATAATCAATAGAATTCAAAAAGGACTATTACTCCTCACGAAATTTTTCACCGTTCTTTGTATTTATCGTACCAGTGACTTTGAAAAATTGTGCGATGAAGAATATTTCACCAAGAATTAAAATTACAAATGTGACTAATGACGATCTCGGCTGATTTTATTGCTAGTTAAAAAAGGGAGAATGAAATTCGGCGCTATTCAATTTCCTAGGTATTTATTGGGGGTCAGTTGTCCGACGGCGGGCATCTGCTGCTGCAACCTGCTAACGAAACAAAACGTGTTAAAAAGAGCAACGCTTTCTAACAGCAAACAAACCAGAACATGTTAAGAACCAACATTCATCTAAAGCTATGAAGAAAAGTGCTTTAACAAAATAAGGCCTTATCGCAAGAGATGCGAGCATGCGACGACAACGCACGTAAGTAAAACCGCGTCAAACGATTGTTTTTTGTTAGAAAGGGACTAAGCCTTGGCGGAGGAAGGGGAGACTCCAGAGTGGGTGATTTTCATCTTTTTCGTAGCTCCTGCCCACCCCCGAGGCTTAGTCCTAGGGAAGCCCGATATCTTGTGGTGCGCCACTTTTTCTGGATGTGGAAAAAAAAGAAAAAAAAGGGGTAGGGCAGGAAATAGGTCAGTTCCTCTTCCAGAAACGTCACAGTTCTTGACATGTCTTAGTTTGCTAAGTGGAGTTTCAGCATATAATGACGCGTCTAACCATGTTCTCTGTTGATTAATAGCAATTGGCTTTCAGCAGAATGCTCTCGTCGTGGCATCGACCCCTTTGCATTATTATATAACCAGTTTAGCTCCGCCCGCTACCGCGCGCATGACACGGAAGCCTCTGACAAAACTGACAATCGGTGAAGCTTTGGGTTTCACCGCTTAACTATAGCTGCTTCGTTAAATGCATTACTGTCCGTTGCCCATCTTGGCTGTATCTCACTGTTTGATAAGCGCAGTGAAGTGCACAGCTAAAGTGATGTATGTAAACAACCACCATGCATCGAGAATCGAGGAAATTTAGCGGTCGAATAATTTTTGGTAATCTCAAGACGGAATGCCCAGTATTCACTATCAAATTTATTAGAGCATCCCATTCATCCTCAAGAACTCTAGAAGGTGTAGCGGTTGAAAGGTGTTTGAATTTACAATTATAACGCTAATGAAATGATATTGAAATGAAATGCATTATCTGCAATCTGGTTTCGAGTAATCTCTACGTTCGTACGCATATCGTAATTATCAGTCCTCATCTGTCGTTATCACTTTTTGACCCCCACAAAATATGTTACCGTCCAACCCCTATATCATGTCCCAAAATAAGTTCCTGACGACTGCTGCGAAGCGCGCTATGAATTTTGTGAAAATTGTGTTTCAGCGCCTCTCAATTGCTCATATCAGTCGTTATCACTTTGTGACCCCCACCAAATATGTTCCCGTCCCACCCCCTATATCATATCTTGAAACCAACTCCTGACGACCACTGGTGCCCGAGCTATGAATTTCGCGACACTTGCGTTCTAGCGCCTTTTATCAGCCCTTATCAGTTGTGATCACTTTCTTTACCCCACCAAATATGTTCCCGTCCCACCCCCTATATCATATCTTGAAACCAACTCCTGACGACCACTGGTGCCCGAGCTATGAATTTCGCGACACTTGCGTTCTAGCGCCTTTTATCAGCCCTTATCAGTTGTGATCACTTTCTTTACCCCACCAAATATGTTCCCGTCCCACCCCCTATATCATATCTTGAAACCAACTCCTGACGACCACTGGTGCCCGAGCTATGAATTTCCGGTCAGACAGACAAACACATACACACACACAGACACACACACACAACCGCTTAGCCGATTATATATAGTAGGATACTATCAGCGTCACTGTAAAGTCCCTCTGTACTACAGAACCAATTTCCATTGCTGCCTCTAGGCTTGGATTTTTTGTGAAAATAGCACTCTGATGGCGCAAACAAAAGCAAAACTTGAAAGGAAGCCAAAAAAGGAGATACTAACCTGAGCACACCGGTCTTAGAACTTCTGAAACATAGCGATGTTGCTACGGACGCAGTGGAATCACGTCATATAGCGGCACTCATGATGGTGATAGGCTGGAGTTGCGGCAAACAACTCTTCAATGCTGCGATTAGTGAGAGGACGGAAAGAGAGGATGAGAACGCTGTTAAAGAATACGTCCGTCGCCCGCATGCGCTGCGCTACATGCGCGGCAATTGGCAGAGCGTGGGAATTTTGAGCTTGACGGTTGAAGCAGCATAAGAAGTTGGATCTTAAAGGGACGGGCCTGTTTGGCGTCCTTGTAACATTCAATTTTGAGACTACGATCACAGAAACTCGTCCACTGCACTTGCGACGTCGCGGCCACGACCGGTAGCGCGGGGATCCGGACGATTCTGTTGACATACACCCCGGAAGGGGTATAACTGCATATTTCAGTCTATATATCACAAATTATATAAACAAAATCTGAACAGCTCTGTATATCCACCTCTTGGACTAAAGAATCAGTGGCTGCATCAAGAATCACTGGCTTCAGCATGTCAGCACTGGATAAGTTCCACAGGGCAGCCGTCGCTTCTTCTTTCACTGCGGCATCGTATGTTGAGTGAAGCACAGCAGCCAACATCCGAACTCCATCAGCGTCAAGGATGGCCAACTGAATGTTACTTTTTCAGCAAGAGCAATAACAGATAGAAACGAGTAAAACACACAGGGAAATGAAGCATCCAGGGAGAAAAAACGCTGTCTATGTTACCTACCTTGTTCCGGTCGTTCTCTTTTCCGAAACAGAGGTTTTTCAAGCATGCACACGCGTTCTTTTGGATCACTGGCATGTCGCTTTTGAGCAATTGCACCAGCTTTGGAATTCCACCATATTCCCTGAAGCCATTAGCATTACAGAATAGGAAGAAGAACACGGAAGTGCTAAGGAATTGAATTCACACCTAGTTTCATCTTTTATGAGATTGTCGCTGAACGTCAAGTGCTGCAAGTATCCGCTCGCGTTTAGTTGCTTTTCTCGATCAGGGTTATCCAGATAGTCGATCACCTCTTTCAATGAAGGATCACGCCATTGTACTGAAAAAAAGATGTTAAAAAAACGCGAACTCTCTATAAGACCGAGCTGCCATGTGCTATAACCCATAGCTGTGCACTCAAGAACTCTGGCGAGCTAGAGGAAAGCTCTCACAATTGCCGTTTCCCTTTCCATGACGTAGAGGTGGTGGAGAATCGTCTCGCTCTGGGAGCGGAGGAGACTCCCGAACCATTTCCTCCATGAGCAATTTGACTGCACCAAAGCGCTCCGCTTCCACATATTTAGCTTCACCAACTGCAAAGAAAACTCAGAGATCTCAGCACAACCACTTCGGAAACTCCTATAGCAAACCAAGGCTTACTAGCGCCTGCGTGAATTTTGACAGGAGGTGACGCTTCAGATGGTTCCGAACAGCCAACGACATTATGTGCGAGCACTCGAAACTGGTACTCGTGGCCAACAATCAGATCTCCAACTATAAAAAAACAGGATAGGAAAAGCAAAGCAGCACACGAAGGATACAGATAACACAAATTCAAACATGCCCGCTTGCAAGGCCAGATAAGAATTAATATTTTTTGAAAATCTCAATTTCACACATGACCCTAACCTGAATTCATGGAAAATAACTGCTTTTCTGCATATGCCAGTGAGGAACTCTTTGGTGCTCAGCTTCAGTAATGGATATAATGCCAGCAAACGGCAACTAATGCCCACCAACCAGCAATCTTGTTGGAAAGCGCGGAACTCAACATCGTAACCCGGGGAAGAGGAAAAAATAGTATTATGAGCGAATCGCAGAAAAAAAAACAGCAGCTGTTAGTACACTCGAAACTCACCAACACGGGAAGAGTGCTGTGCTGTGTGCAGGAAGCCAGCATATCGTTATCCTTTCACCATCAACTTCCAGGTACTCTGGAGCTTGCGGCCGGGCAGGGAACTCCACGAGTCGTACTCGCTGTAAGACAAGTCGTTAAAAATTAAGATTGGATGAAAACAATTCTATTGCTTTGAAATTAGCTCCAAACGCCATAGAATATGAATGCCTCACGTCTCCAAAGTGGACGGAGCGATATGATATCCGACACTTCCGAAGGCAAAGATGCTGAATCACCAGCAACACCAATCACACGGAATTCATAAGTGGACCCAGGTCGAAGTCCCTCCACTAAAAAAAGAGATTAGCACAGAATGAATAAAAACAAGGTGAA